CGAAAATTGATCGCTTATACGACATTTGGGCTGTACAGAGTATAATATTATATAGACCTTATGACACTTGAGCGCCAGACAAGTCAGCGCCATCATATTTATTAAAATAATATACTTAATGATTAAACTATTTAATTATAATTTAATTAAAATACATCCCGGTAATAAAATATAACAAGTTAATTAATTATTAAATTATAACTATAATTATTATGAAACAAACTATATAAATATTAATTATATTATTAAGTAAACCATTTATGTAAATTAAAACTTTGGGATATACCAAGGTAAGTATTCATTGAGTGCTCGAGCAGAATAATTGTTGAGCGCAGAAATTATCTCACCCAATTATTGACGGTTTACCCATAATCATTACGACAGATTAAACACAATTATTTAAAGATCATTGACACCGGTCGAAAATATTTGTGACAACGACTTTGACTTATAGGCTATTAATTTTGAGGAAAAATAATGTAAGTTATTCATTTGAATTAAAATAAAATACACATAGATAAATTTATATTTACTTCATTAAACTATTCTATCAATATTTTAGTAACCGGATGACTTTTAAGCGAATAGACTTCTGGTTAGTTTATGTAAACTTATGAGCTGGAGATTAATTTCTTGAGGTCCCTGATTATAAGAAATACAATTATTACAAGACTTTTGAGAACTTTTATATTACCCATCAATATCGGTCGAAAATATTTGCGACAACGCGTTTGTTACAAGATTTGAATTTTGAGGAAAAAAAATGTATAAACCTAGGTATAGGTAAATATATATTTATTTCAATTAACTATTCTATCGATATCTTAGTAACCGGGTGATTTCTAAGCGAACGGACTTCTGGTTAGGTTATGGAAACTGATGACCTGGGAAAACATTTCTTGAGATACCTGATCATAAAAATTCTTTAAATAACGGAAATATAGCATGGCCAATGATGGGGAGGGGATTTGCGCATTAGTATTTTATTTGAGAAATCGAGTGGAAACTGGATAAAACTATAAAAGCTACACTGATTTGGCAGGGATTCCAAATTTTGAAATCGATTATTCTTGTTCCTAAAATATAAATTTATGCTGTAAATATGATAATATTTACTATGAGCAAATAATGAAATAATAATGTTATCATATTCAGCAATAGCCAATTAAAAATTCGTTCTATTTGATTAGTGGTTGCTTTAACTATACTAATCATCAATATTCTGTATACAAACAAAATTCACTTTAAGCACCTTAGTACCACTTTCATTTTAATAGTATCATTTTAATATCAGTCAACACTGTAACATAAATTTAATAAAAAGAATATATACTATATTATACAATTCAAACAAATGTCAATGTACAGTTTACAACATTTGTATTCTCGTGTATAATAGTATAGAAACTGAATGTAATAACAACAAAATCGTTAAATGAGAAAATCATTTGGAATTACTGTTATGACGTGGTATAAACATTACACAGTATATAATTGTCCATGTTTGGTTATTAAAATTACAGTTAAAAAAGTTACAAATATTATGTTCCTCGTTGACGGTCGGTCTTGACAATTTCAAAATGCTATAATCATTTTGGCGGGTAAAAATAATTAAGAAAGGCCAAATTGACAATAGACAATAATATTAAAGATACTTCTTACTTAAACTTGCTGGTAAACATTTCGTTTAGGTTCACATTTACTTTTACGATGTCAATTATTTTGATTAAGGTCTTGAGCCGCATTAAAGAACCAGTGTCAGTTAATGTTTTCTTTTATCTGACTATCTGCTAATATCTTTACATTTAGTAGCGTAGTCCGTCGTCGGCTGATGTTTCTCGACAAAGTAAATGCGTGTCGAACGGTCATCAAAACTCCGCAGTAAACTGCCCGAGAATTAAGTTTTTTAATTCGCTTTAGAAACCTTTAATAATGGCTTAAATTGTCTTTTATTTGAAATGACAAATTAGACATATCATATAAAATATTGAAAGCCCCTCAGCACGTAATAAAAAAAAAAAATATTTGCCAATTATTCCAAACTTTGCTCTTTAGTATACACTGAAAAATGTTTGCAATCAAATTGTATTATCATATCAGTCGTAGTCGGCAGAGTTTTTGTCCCTATTTAAATCAATTCAATAGATACTTTTCGTATGAAAGAAATGAAAAAAAATGCATTATATATTGAAGACGATTTTCAAAAAAAAAGTTAAGTAAGAAAATATCTGGTTGACAATATTAATAATTTCGGATGTATCTATACAGAGTGGTTCGCCAAACATACTTACCCCTATTTTTCCTTAAATAATGCATTTTTCAAATTCTTGAATTTGTTTGTACTACTTAAGGAGTGTCCTGTGACATTACAAACTTCTGTTTTTCAAATGTAAACTCCTCTTTTCTACTGTACATTATTGCGTTCATATTTTTTTTGAAAATTGTTATGTACCTAATTCAAAATTCGAATGAGTTGTCTTTAGTTGTTAAAATGTTTGTACTAATGATAATAGTCCTAAATGTGGTTTTATAAAAATATAAAATAGACTTAATGTTAGAACTAGTGGGCAATTTTTACAAATTATTAATATTGATAGAATAATAGAAGAATAAAATAATACAGTAATGACTAACATTTTCAAATTATCGTAGCTCTTACATCTTATACAACTATTACTCATGAACCTTTTATCCTTAGAACATAATGTAAAATAATTCAACAACTACTAGTACTGAATTTTGATTCTGATAAGTCAAATTTTTAGAAAAGTTATTCACTGAATAATTTACAATTGAAAGGGGTATTTTAATTTTAATTTTAAAAGTAAAATGTTGTACCTTCAGATAACACACCTTAATAGTAGTACAAACATTATCAAAAATTTGAAAATATGGTTTTTATGTATAATTTGAAATTAAAAAAATCAGATTTTACATAACTGCAGCTTTCTTGAAGAAAAAAGGGAGTGAGCATACTCGGCGAATCACCCTGTATAGTGTATATGGCTATATTAATACGAACAGAAATGTTTGAAATTATTACATTTCGAGTAATACATAATACAGACATAATATTACAGTAAATATTATTTTCTATAAAAAGTTAGAATGAAAATACCAGTATTTTTTCAATTATGATAAATTTAAGAATGGTATTATTAAACTATTTTCATCGAGATTCTTAATATCTGACATTCTTATCAGACAATAGTAATACCTACCTATATGGTTATAATATTATACGCTGATACAAATATTTTTTTTCTTATTAAAATGTCAAACAAATAATATTAATAAAAAACTGTTTAAAATGTATACAGAATTATGTGCACATAATGTTAATATAATTCTGAAGTCAAATTGTTCAAGTGATAACTAAAATAAAAATGAAAATAGGTATATACACGGGTACACAAAAGAATTCGATGACAACGAAAAATACTATTGTGGTTGGGAGATAATCATTGTACCAAGTTGATGAAAAGGAAATATGTAAGCTGTATGAGAAAATTCCTACAGTGTAAATCTTTGGAGTGTAATCGAAGGAATGGCAATCATTGCAGTTTGTTTTGCCCGGGTGGTTTCATTTGAAATTACTAACCCAAGTTGTGAGTGTTATAGATCAGATCTTCTGTTTCCATGAGTGTTTCATAAGTTGCAACTTAATGAGACGATATTGTGGTCGATACACCGACGACTACACAAACAATTTGATTCGAAGATTCAAAATTGAAACGATTAAAATAGGTTGAAAATGCTTACGGTATACATAATATAAAAGACAGTTTTTGAGGAAATAGTTTCGCCATTTCTGCTATTATAGATTCTGAGAGCGACGATTAATGTAGTGACTCTACTACTCTAGTGTATTTAATTTTTAAAATTAAATTGTTTCTTCTGATTTTAAATAAGTACCTTTAGAACATTGACATATTTATTTGGAAAATATTTTTTTTCTTATTCTCATCAACAATTGTCATTTCAATCTAACGTATAGATAATTAAATTGCAAGTAGCAATGTAAATGCATAACAAAATATCCTTAGCAATATTGACTGACAGTCAGTCTATGATCAGAATCATATTTCATCGTATGCAATGATTTCAAATTTGTCATTGAACACATCACATTTCAGTAACCTACTCGATGACAAAGTACACTCGACAGTCGACACCTACTGTACGACAGAACGACTTCTCTTGTATTCATTTCGATGGATTTAATAAATTCGATATGTGAATATATTTTTTGATAAGAGTTTATTTAAAAAAAACTGATTTAGTTTTGTTTGTACAACACATTATATAATGTACACGAATAATAAACTGTGCAGTGTGCAGCGAACTAAAAAATATATAATATTATAAAAATTTTTCTCATATTATAAAATGTAGTTCATGCATTACTCGGTTGTAGAATATTGCTTCTGAACATTCTCAGAGCTGCGAATATGTGCCATGGTTTTTCGATACTCATTTGTGTACGTTGTAATTTAAAACCATATTTTCCACAAAGAGGGGACCAGAGCGAAAATAACAAAACGATAGTCGGTAATCTTCTTAAAAGTTTAATTTCAAAAAACCAACTTTACTGGAAAAGAGGGTAGGTGGGATATCTGCTTTCGGGTGCCATTACGTGTTTGCACTGCTAAAACGGTCACACGTCGTCGAAGTTTTGAAAGCGTTATGACAGTGGGCCATTAGCGACAACGGCGGCTGTATCTGAGGCTCTTGTGTGGGGCTGAAGGGATAGCGAGCAGGTCATTTTTTTCCACTCTGATCCTCCTCGTCTATGAAGTCGTCATGAATAACTCAACGGGCGAACAACACATTTTTAAGGGTCTTTTTTTCGGATTTTTTTTTTTTATTATTCTCAGGAAGTATAATGGGATACGTGACTTGTTCCGGAATCATAGAATCAATAATGTCCTGCGAGAAGGGAGAAGAAAAAAACAAAAAACAAAAAATGAAAAAAAAAACCGAAAATAAAATACACTTACCAGCTAACAGCTGCAGGTATCCGGCGACTTTAGCTGTCGACTTTTGGATAACATGTGTCACGCAACATGCAGATACAGCAGATACCGCCACAATAACAGTGATTGCAGTCGCACCTCCTATAAGAATCGTACTTATCTGCCACCATACACTTGGAATGTCGTTGAACCTGCAATCGTCATATCGTATTTTTAACAGGTATTACAGAGCTCAAAAGCGATTAGTCTTATGTTACAAACACAATTTTACAATATTGATCAATAAAAACAATATAGCATAGACCTATTGGACCTATACTTTAAATGCACAATTTAATTTTAAATATGCACTTTCAAAAAATATATTACGTTCCGTGGAAAAAAAATATGCAACATCATAATAATATTTTTAATTAAAAGTATCGCGTTCGCGAAAAGAAATTGAAAAGTAAAAGACGGTAATTATAATTTTTCTAAGCTTCATATCCATATTCCATACACCCAGTGCTAGATTACCCATAATTGGCTATGTAGGCGTCTGTCGCTATAGCCTTTCCAGCGGTCCGCCTAATACGGATATCAACATTTTTAACAATATTTTTTCTATTTTTAAATCTATTTAATTCTACGATCAATAGAATCCGATGTTCATTCTCTATCATTTTTAGAGTTGAATTGATACAATAATATGTTCTTTTCCGAGTTCAGTATAGAAACATTTAAATCGATAAACTAAGATTCGGGTCTTTTGACAGTCATGTGATCACGAAATACGCTTCAATTGAATGAACCTTTTCGCAGATAAAACTACTGAAAGTTATTACCATTGATCTCAATTACTACGTCAAAACTGATGAATGTGACCACTGAATACAATGTCAGTTATTATTATAGTCTTCAAGTAAGTGCATTTTTTTCTGATCATGGGTGTAAATTATACCTACCCGACAATGACGTATCTATGTTTATTTAAACTAGGTAGTATAAAAGTATATGTGAATATTTTATTCATCAAGTAAAAAGTTTTCAAACACAATGATAAGTTCAACCCGATTTTCAAAAGTTATCAAGCTTCAAATAATTATAATTCATTTTTATTTGACGTATTATCTTATTCTACGACTAAAGACCACACAATATTATATCGTTCGATTTTGTTTATTTTTCATTTTTAAATAATAAATAAGATACAGGGTGGGGTGACTTATGAATTTGGTGTATCATTATAGTTTGAACTCTTTTACATTTTTGAATTTATTATTTTTTTTTTGATCCAAAATCTAATCATAGCAAACTACACGAGCAAAAAAAAACATTTTAATGATGACCGATCGAAAAAATTATTCCCTTAAATCCAGCCTTTAGATTTGTTTCAAACACGATGTGGAAAATTGCAATAAACTATAACTTTGTTGTTTATATAAATAATAATAACCACATAAAATGAGTAATTCTGGTGAAAAACTTTAACAGAGAATACATATAGGGAAGAAAACAATTCTTTTTCAAAACAATATTTTCTGCTGCCAAAGTCGTTTCCGTTATTGTTTTTCCGGTTCAGTGGATGTTTGCAATTGTTTGAGACACGCAGACGTATGGTACGCGTATACAATACGCAATTAAATCGGATTTGCCCGTCGTCGAACTAATACCCGTATGATATCAGAGGACTTCATAACTCGTACGCGGTATTTCACTTCTCCCGATTGTCTTCTCTTTCACACACTCTCGTCGTGTCTGCTATTAACCCTCCTTCTGATTATATTTCCATCCATCTGTCTCTCGCTCAGTACACAATTTATATAATATTAATATAATATCGTACCTACACATATTATATCCGTATGCCTATCGGTGAACGCATATACCTGCATCAATTCAGGGAGCTGTCCGAGTTCGATTGTGTTTCCGCTAACAATAAGGCACTCGACAAACAAAATAATAATAATAACAATTATTATTATTATTGCTGTTCTTGTATCGTTTCAAGACGAACGCGGGGCATATCGCATACCTGTATACACTGCTATTACTAAGAACAATTTATTGCTGTCGAACAGATGGAAAAATTAATATCGCAGTGGCACGAGTGTTCGGGAGATGGCGAATACTTTGGTGGGCCTTTTAAAGATGATTCACACTGAAACACGTACCTACGACAGCCAACGTTGCTCGTGCACGACGACGACGACGTATAAAGCGTTCATAAAATCGAAACACACTTATAATATACACATACAATATTATATGTACGTCGTGTTGTAGAGAGAGGGTTTTTTGTATATATTTTTTATTTCATCGGCCGTTACGTCGTTTCGATAAATTCCACATGGAGATTTATACGGGAAAGGTTTTCACCCCTGAAAGACATCATACATGGATATCCCATGTGCAGTATGTTTGATCGCATGCGGAGAATGTTGCAGTGGGTAATAATATATTATTATCAAAGGAGAAAATCGAGTAAGACCCACCCACGCCGTTTACTGCTCATCGCTCATCATCGATACACTGTAATACGATCGTTACAATATTATTATTGCCTATTATTATTATTATGCGTTAAACATCGGCGGAACCGTCGGATATATTATTATAAACTTTTGTACCTGCTATGAAATGCACAATGTAGATCTGTAATATATTTCATTGAATGCGACAATAGACAACACGGTGCATATATAATACAGGTACGATAAAAATAATAATATATAAACGTGCAATTAGATTATTACTTGAGTGATAAGCAACTCCCTCAGTCAAACGGATTTGTTGAAATTTCATTCAATAAATTAAAATACAAGTCAAATGTATATTAATGTGTATACGCATGCGATACTTGAAAAATACATAATATTATACATTTCATGTATTATGAGTTTTTTATTATTATAAATGCAAATAAATTGTAATAAAAATGTTAACATCAATAATCGTAATATGAATCATTTAAACTTTCACAAAAAAAAATGTTGTTACTTTATCAGTGTTCCATAAATTTTTAAATATTTTAGTTTATCCAAATAAATGCCCAACACATTATATTATTATAGCAAACAAAAACAACGAAAATCTAATACAATTTAAAGTAGATAATATGCCCTATATTTATAATTTTCTATAATACCATGTGTAGGTAATAAAACGGTGAAACAATAATACACCGATTGAGTTATATGATATTATTGAATAAATGTAAATACAATATCATAAGTAACTACGAGTCCTTAGCCAACGACGACTATGCTCATCAGATTATATCATAATAATGAGAAGTGCTCACAGCTTGTTATGAAGGATGGTTATTAAGGTAATCCGATAGATGAACAGGTACCACAGAGGGTTCTTTGCTCTTGTTACACTAACTGAGCATAACCAATATCATTCGACAGACATCGAGGCAATATTATATTATTTGATCTGATATATACATTTACATTCAGTCCCTCATCTACGTCCCTCAGATGGACTTTAAAGACAAATGCAGGGAGATTATGGATAGAAATACTATAATATCAAGAAGTAACTATTTAATATCAGAAAATGAACTCATATGAAAAGGTTTTCACCTAATTTTATAACATTTTTAAAAGAAACAGTTTTAGTATGGATAAAAATATGCAATCCATGCGATTAAACCTATATGCTTTAGTCCAGCGGTTCTCAACCTTTTTAAATCCACGTACACAGTTGGAACATTTTCAAGTACCACTTGAAAAAACAACGATGTTTCTTGCCCATCAAAAATGTATACTTTTTTACATTATGGAATTTTATTTTATTAGGAACTTCAAAATTATGATATAATAATAGGTACATTCATTTAATGCATACAAATAAAATGAAATATGTACAGTTAATATTTATATTATTATTAATCTTAAATAAACCGAATTATACTTAACGTGAACAATGACAAATTCCATTTTTTTTCATAAAGTTAGATCTGTTTGGCGTATCCCTTATGAGATTTCGGTATACCTCAAGTTGAGAAACTCTGGTTTAGTCAATATTAAAGATAAATTTAACTTAAGTAGAAGTCATTTATCAATAATATAATAGATATTCCTTAAGGCATAAGTAGTACATATTCGTATAGTTAACTTCAAAAATAAAACTATGAACTATTGTTTGTGGTATATGAAAGAATGTTAAATAACAGTGCCTAAATCACAATATAAATATTAAAAAGTACGAAATACATTCTAAAAAATACGAAAAAAAATAGGTACCCACATTTTGATAAATATGTTATATTTATTAGGGTATATTATTAATTATAGATAAAGTAAAAATAATGTATAATAAGATTACAGATCCAAAATGTTAGAACTTACGAATGTAGCTAATGAAAACTAATATCAGTGTTATTAATTATTATTACGAACGAAAAAATAATAAACTGAATAAATGTGATATAAAATGATAATTTAGATTTAATAATTTTTAAGGTGTAATATGAAGTATTCTTTTTATTAATCTCGATTAAGTAAAATGTTATAAGAAATGAATAACTTTCCATTGTACGAGATAGCTGTGTGCTTGAAAAAATATTTTTTATTTAGTTTTGAAGTTATTTAAATAAAGCAACAAACGAAACGTTATGAATGTCTTAAAACTAAATTAAAACATAAACATTTATTAGTAATAATAGCCAGTAGTGTAGTTATTGGTACAGAATATGAACAGTTTTAAAACTCGTTGAAGTAAAACATAAGTTTAATGTAATGGTTGTTTCATTTTTAATTAAGTAGGTAAACTATTTGATAATATTAATGGATAGATACTTTATAAATAAAGATTTTCAAATTAAAAATATTTATTATTTATAGCATAGTGATAAAAAATATTAACATGGAAACAAAAGATGTTTTGTTGTGTTATGTGAATCATGCATTCAATTGTCCAGGTGATTAAGGCAAGCATTTTACTACTAAGTAAAATTATAGACTCTCGGTTTCATGAAGAAGTATCCACTTGGTGAATTTTTTATATTAATATCTCGGTGTAGAAATAAGTAATAACAGTTTCCATTTCTTGAAAAGAACGGTTTCACTAAATATATTATGTTATACAATTGTGAATGTATTATGTTATACACAATACATAATATACTTGAATATGATGTATAAACTATTCATATAAGTTATAACTTATAAGTATATTATAATATGTTGGCATGAGTAATAAA